TACTCGTAGAGTCGTCATCAGATAGTCGCAATACACTCCTGTGACCGTTACACCCTCTCCCAGACCTGTGTGTTGATGGTTTCACACCTACGAGGCATTGTGAGTCTTGTCTATACACCTGAGGCTTACATCGTGGTCAGCAGGGATCAGGTGAGCGAGAGAGGAACGTAGAAATAGCTGACCAAATATCCTCTCCCAGTCATGTCCAGTCATGCACAGTCATCGCAACAGCTGGCACACATACCAAGCAGAGACGAGTTGGACAAACACTAAGCCCAACAGCCCCCTGAAACAGCAACACATCCATAACGCATCCCAGGGTTCTGTAATTCAAAGGCCTAAACAACGTGAAGCTGGATCTCAAGTCAAGAATCGAATCAACCTCTTCCCTTCAACATTCCCCCCTTACCCCAAGAAAATATGGACGTGGCTGATCGGTTGTTGTTTCCAAACCTTTCAGACCACATCACCACGACAACAGACCCCGGCACAGCACCGACTACCAGCACCACGAAAAAAACTGCAAAAACAATAAAAAACACCAACAGCAGAGCCAAAACAAGCAATCCCTTTCCACACCCAAAAAGCATCGCTCATCCGAGCAAAAGATAAAGCCGTGGTTACTCTCTCCCGCCGGGAATTGAACCCGGGTCTCGAGCGGAGTCGCAGACTCGAAAGTCCAGATGACAAGCTCACATACTGACCACTATACTACGGAAGACTGGCGGATGTTCGCACCCGCTGTAGCTTGGCGACGGAGTTTGCTCCACCGGTCTATTAAGGGAAAGAAGTGAATGGGGGGCGAACTAAGGCGGTGGTGATGGAGAAGGGTGGGTTCGATGGTGGAGTACACACAGATCAAGGGGAAGAGGCATCACGACTTTGCAGGGATCATGAGGTTCGTTTCGTTCCTTCTCCTGACAGTGGTGGGCAATAACCGTTGTTGAATTATGAACAGATAACGGAACTGTTACATTTCGAGTCTCTTTTTCGAGCCTTTTGTCCCCTGCCCTCGGGGATCGACTCGCCCGCCCACTTATCTGGACTGTCCACACCACCACCCAAAGAGACATCAACAAACCAAACAAGACCCTCCCGAATGGAATCAACCCCTCAACTTCAGGATCCTCCCCGCCGCCTGCTCACCCGCAATCACGATCATGGATGACGGGTTGCCTGTCGTCATGCCCGGGAAGATGGATGCGTCCACCACAAACAGGTTGTCGGTGCCGTACACCTTGGTGTCGAGGTCGACGACGGCCGTGCCGCCCGCCTTGCGCCCGTCGTCGGTGCCAAGCTTGGCCGTGCCCATCCAGTGGTTGGAGCGGCGGTTCGAGGGGGAGACGAGGAGCTGGGGAGGTCAGTTTGCCATTCAATGGATATTTGGGGGACTGTTGTCAAGGGGGACAAAGAGGGAAAAGGTACGCACCCCATTGACATAGCTCTCCACCGTCCCGTTCGGCGGCGGCAGCACCCACTCGAGCCCCGCGATCGGGCTGAGCGCCGCCTGCACGTTCTTGATGCCCTGGATCACCGCCTCGAGGTCGCCCTTGTTGTGCAGGTACGGGTGCTCGGTCACAGCGGTCGCGAGGCCGGACGTGATGGTCATGCGGCCGCGCGAGACGACGCCGCGGCCGAGGTATTGGCTGAGGGTCATGGCGTCTGAGGGGGGCACGTTAGCAGGGTGATGAGGTGGGGAGAAGGGGAGAAAGATGAGGCTTACGGCTCGAGTTGGTGATGCGGGAGTCGCCCTCGACGCGCGCGGTCCACTGGAACTGGCGGACGATGCCGTCCGAGGGGGTCACCTCGTCCCAGATCATAGGGCCAATGTTGGGCGCCGCCTGCGCGAGGATGCCCGACCGGCTCTTGAGGTACGCGTCCTCGTCAGTCTGGATGGGTGTGGTCCAGGCCTCGTAAAAGTCGTAGAAGACCACGTCCGGGTGCGTCAGGATTAGGTCGGTGTTGAGGTGGTCGATCAGGTTGTAGCCGACGGGGAGGTTGATCCAGTCGGCCTTGGCCGCGAAGGTGGCGCCGTCCTTGGAGCCGGCGACGACCTCGAGCTGGTCGGCCGGGCCAATGCCGCCTGCATGAGGATGGTTAGTAGTTGTTTATGTACGCCTGTGATTGCTCCCTCCAGAGTGACTTACTGCGAAGCAGCAACTTGGCCGAGCCGAAAGCACCAGAAGAGAAGATGACACCGCCCTTCGGGTTCAGCTTGACCGTCCCGTTGTACCCGCCATCGGTCAAGCACTCGAGCTCAACCCCCGACACGGCACTGCCAGTCCGCACCGCGCGGCGCACGGCCGTGTTGGTCCACAGGTCAAAGTTGTCGCGCGCGTCGGCAGAAACGAGATACGTGGCCAGCGGGCCGTTGCGCTCGCCGCCGGCGAACATGAAGTGCGTGTGGGCGAAGGTGTGGTTCTTCTCGCCCGGCGCGTCGTTGGCCACGACCGACTTCCACCCAGACTTGGCCAGCCCGCCCGACAGCACGTCGAAGCCTTCCTGCCGGTACAGCTTGCCGTCCATCGACGGGTGCCAGCTGCCCGGGATGCGGTCAAAGACGCGCTTGGATGCGGCCGCGAGTTCCTTGGATTTCCACCCGGCCGGGAAGTTGTAGTCCCAGTCTTGGGGGTTGGGCTGCAGAGTGTTAGTGTCCCTCTCACAATCTCGTCAGGGGCAAAGGGGCATCAACTCACGTTCCACCACAACCCAGCATTAACCGCCGTGCCACCGCCCAGCACACAGCCCGCCATCTGGTCGGTATCGGTGCATGCAATGCCCGCCGAATCGACCCAGATCTGGTTGCACAGGCCCGGCACATCGAACCGCGTCAGGTTCGTCGGCTTGAGCCAGTCGGGCTTCATGGTGCCGCCCCAGCGGCCCGTCGAGGGGGGACCCTTCTCGATCAGCAGCACCTTGTGCCCGGCCTGGCTGAGCTTGTCCGCGACGGGGATCCCGCCCGCGCCGCCCCCGACCACGATGTAGTCGTATGTTGTGGCGGGCGCGGGCTTGCAGACGGCTTCGTGAGTGCCGGTGCTGGAAGTGGTCAGCAAACTGAACTTGGAACATGGTACTCTCTGGGGTGGGGGACTCACTCATCGCAGGTGGTCTTGGGGGTGGTCTTTGCCAGAGCCGCCCACTTGGCATAATCAGCCTGAGGCACATCCTCCAGTGGCGCGCCCCACTGGCCAAAGCCATTATCGTGGAACCCAAACGTCGCCTTGTCCGGGCAGGTCGGGTTGACCAACCCCTGCTTCCCCGACGCGCGGCCGAGGATCAGGTTGCCCTGCTTGGTGGACACGCTCGCGTCGGTGCCGTCCTGGTTCCACGCGAAGCAGTTCTCGCAGCGGTAGAGCAGCTCGAAGCCCGTGGCGGTGACCGTGGACGAGATCTGCGTCAGCTTGGCGTTGCCCTTGTACAGACCGGGCAGGGTGTAGCCCGTGGCGTAGCGGAACGAGGTGTAGACGGTGTTTTCGCTCGCCCAGGCCACCAGGAGCAGCGCCTGCGTCATTTGGCCAGATTGGCCGTGCGAGAGACCGCAGTAGCCGGGGGAGGTGGCGTTGGCGATTGAACAGCGCTGGGAGTGGTGTAAGTGAAGGGACCCCCCCAGATGAGGGTGTGGTTAACGTACCAAAAGACCAATGTACTCGGTAGCGTCCTTGGTCAAGGCATCAGAGGGCAGGGCCATGCCAAAGGTGTACGGCGCGCCGTCGGTGGCGGCCCACGTCTTGAGCTTGATGCCCGTCGCGGCGTCCGTGTAGGACCCGGCGGTCATCTGCGCGGCGCATTGTTGCAGGCCTTGTGGCGGTTAGCATTGCCCAATGGCTCTCTGACTCCCCAGTAACACCATCATCGTGTACTCAACACTTACACAGCGACGCCGCGAGGGCTGATGCCCTGGTGCGGCTGGCAAACTTCATCGTTCCAACAGGCGACGGCAAGGTCCGGAGGTAAGCTCAGGCCAAGAAATGACAAGCATTCCTCCCGAATCCCAAGACTCAGGGGAAAGGGTAAAAAGGGGGGGGACAGAGAGCGCAGAAGGCGGAGAATAAATAACCCAACAGCGTCTGTCTGTCAAGCCCGTCTGTGTCTGTCTGTCATCCATCACTCATCCATCTCCGACCCCATATCCCATGCCACCCCCTTGCTCGGCCTGCTTGCCGACATGCTCGCATACCTGTATACCCCCCAGCTTCCGTGACCCTGCACTCCGCATTCCGGTGGGACAAGCGAGCGGAACCACTCTCCGGGGCGAACCAAACGGGACAGGCACCGATAGGATGGGTCCCCCGCGGCAGAATGACGGGCGTTTGTTGGGGGAGTCGGACGCGGATAGATTGGCCCCTGCAGGTCCCAGAGTTTTCCAGAGTGGTGGTGTATTATAGCCTCCGACCAGCCAGACAGTAGTTGGGTGCTGTGGCGCAGGGGAGGGGAGGGGAAGGGGAAGGGGGGGGATTGCCCACGAGGGGATCGGCGCCTGGCCAGGTCCCGGGTGCAGATTAACTCACGACCACCACCGGGGTGAATTTGGAGAAAATTGGCGCCTGTGTGTGTGTGTGTGCATGTGTGTATGTGTTTGTGCCTGACTGTGCGCGGGGGTGTGGACGGCAGGGCGGTCCCCAACTTTTTCGTCCCCCTCGCTCAGGCGGCTGACCGAGTTACATATCGACAGGGGCACACTCGTCGCGGTCACAGCGATGAAATAACCAAGGGGCGTCGGCAGCCAGGGGTCTGCGCCGTTTCGGCATGACAGGACGGGTGCTCAGCCAGGAACGGCAGGGGAGGCTACGTGCCGATCATGTACCCGTCCTGCAATGCGGAAGCAAGCAAGCGCCGATGCGTCCTCGCTGGAGCTTGTTTCCGCCTTGGGGCCCCCGATCGAACCGACCTTCCAGCCAGCGAGTGCCGATCTCTGCCCTGCTGCCCAGGCCCCCGGAGAGCAGGGCTGTCGTGGGGCGGCGAATCAGGGGCCGTGGGGATCGGCGGATCGGGCAGGAGGAGGGAACGCCAGCGGGGGATGGTGATTCGCGGGAATACCGACCGGACGGGGGGTCTGCCCAGCGACGGGCACAGGAACTGGGAGGGCGATCGTTCGGTTGTCGTCTGCGCCGGGCCGGGATGTAACCTTGATGAGGGTCTCTGGTGAGGCGTGGTGAGGAAAAAGGGGGCGGGTGTTTGGCTGTTTGACTTGGGGCTTGGGCTCGTGACTGAAGGAGGCTTTCCTGGTAAACACTCTGTGGTATGTAGTAATACGGCGGTTGCAACTGGTCGTCGGCCCCTATCTATCGCTTGGATGTCGAGATGCCGCGCGGTCCTTGGCTGGCAGCCTCTCTGGCCATGGCTCGTCCGGTTCTAGAAGAAATTCCGTCCGCATGCTCGACACGGCAATCTCACCCCACTTTGGATAAATAACCGGCCATGCCCAATGCCGTGCTGCTGGCGGACCCCCTGCCGTGCCCCGCCGTCCTTCATCTATGCTCGACCTCCAGGGCCTTTGTGTGTTGATCAATCAGCCTATACCCAATCAACTTTGCGTATAGTGACCGCCGCGGTCCGACGGCCCCGTCCTCGCCGCCGCCGACTCTTGCAACGGCAGTGGGGTTTGCGTGGAGCAGGATGGTACTGGTGATGGAGCAGGGAGGAAACTGGAAGGCAAAAACACCAAGTGGATTGATGGCGCGATACTGGTCACTCGCAAACCCTATCCCTGAACGAAACTAC